TGTCTCTGTTTCTCTGTCTGTCTCTGTCTCTCTCTGTGTGTCTCTGTCTCTCTCTGTGTGTCTCTGTCTCTCTCTGTGTGTCTCTGTCTCTGTCTCTCTCTCTCTTTCTGTGCTTGTACTAAGGCTTGAACTCAGCCTGGGCACTGTACCTGAGCATTTTCACTCTAGGCTAGTGCTCTACCACTTGAGCCACAACTCCATTTCCAGCTTTGGGTAGTTAATTGGAGAGAAGAGTCTTAGAGCCAGTCCCAGTTGGCATTAAACCACAATCCTTAGGTCTCACTCAGCCTCCTGAGTAGCTAGGATTACAGGTGTGAGCCACTGGTGCCCGGCTTTCAGTGAATTTTTTATGCCATCTTCATCCACAGATGAATTATTTTGATATTATTCATCCTTCATACTCTCTTTCCCTCTCCCTTCTCCCCGCTGTCTTCATGAATTCTTTTGCCAACCCAGAGCACCAAAAACCCTTGACTCCTGCCAGCACTGGCCACAGTGACCCTGTGCTTGTGAGGCCCTCCTGCCTTCTGCCCTGCCTGGGAGCTCACCTTTCCACTCACAGAAAGCCATACATGCAGAAGCCCAGTGTCTCCTCAGCGCAAGACAGATTGCCATGGAAACCAGCATGAAGACAGAGAAAAACCACCATTATTTCTAGCCCAGGAGCCTCTCTGACGGGCCTCTTCCCATCTGATCCTTGGGTTTCAGGGCAGGGGGAAAGACCTGCTGAAATGAGGGTTACTCTGTCCTGGAATTCGTTGCTTCTGTGAAGCTGAGAATCAAACCCAAGGCCTTGAGCATGTTAAGACAAGTGCATTATCATGGAGCCACATCCCTAACCCAGTGTTTCTAGAAGGCCTTCCTCTAGAAGCCACCATGCTGCCAGGCCTTGGTGACCCAGCTGGTAGAGAGACCCAGGTGGGCGACTCTAATGTAAGATGACGTGTGGATATAGGTGACCCTGGGCAAGGTGTCAAAACTTCTCCAAACCTCAGTTTACCTGCCTTTTAAGTGTGTCTAATAATGTTACTTATGCCATAGGAGTAGTCATACCATTTGATAATACAGTAAAACAAACTATGTTTGGCACAGAATCTGGTAGCTAATAAGCACTTACTAAATAGCATTATTACAAATTATTAAGCATAATAATTCTATCATCAGCTTACTATTGGCTAGGTAAGTTCCTTAACTTCTCTGGGCCTCCGTTTTCTACTGTAGAAAGCAGGGTGAAGCCAGGCAGGCACCAGTGGCTCACACCTCTGAGGTTGAGATCCAGAGGACTGAGGTTCAAAGCCACAAGACTGCATCTTCAAAATAGCCAGCAAAAAGGCCAGGCTGGAGGCATGGCCCAAGCCGCAGAACACCAGCTGAGCAAGCAACCTGGAGCTCAAACTCTGGTGCGGCAGAAGCAATTTGCCGAGGTGCAAGGGTGAGGTAGGACCAGCCAGCTTTGTAGCTCTGGTACTGGATGGTTCCGGGCTGGCATTCTTGGCAAAGGAGTAGGGAGAGATGGCAGTAGTATGGCATTACCACTCTCTAAAGCACATTTTTTCTGCAGATTTCCACAGTGACAGGAAGGGCCTTGGATTATATGCAAGGGAAGGAAATTAGCATTCAACCTTTGCTCACTGTTGACCTTACTGGGGCTCAGTTTCCCCATCTGTTGAGTGAGACTTCTTTGTGGGGGCTGGAAGGACTCCCTAACTTCACTCCTATATGGTGCTTGGGCACAGTGAGGACTGGCTCTAGGCTAAGTATGGGCTTGCCCTGCTGACACTCAGCAGCCCTGCACAGGATATGTATGCATCCTTAAGGACCTGGACATTGCCCAGCACCATAGAGACTCAGGAGAGCCGGGAGGACCTATCTTACCAGGCCGAGGTTCAGAGCGTTGTTGTCATCTTCAGGCATCGGCAGGTACACGGCCAGGGCCACGCAGTTGGCAAAAATGGTGAGCAAGATGATGGTCTCGAAGGGTCTGGTGCTGGGGTTAAGGAGAGCCTTTGCCTGAGCTGTGAGGCGTGCAAGGTGTGTAGTGGGGTTGAGGGGAAGAGGGGACCAGCCTGGATTGTGACTGCAATCCGGAACAAGCAGACATGGGGATGTTCCTTCCCAACTTTCCCACAAATTCCAGCGCAGGGCCCCGGTATCCCTCTCTTCCTCTTAGACTCATGGAGCTGCAAAGGGCAGATGCCTGGCTCATGGCTACTCAGCTTGAAGATCTCGCTGTTCCTCTCTCTCAGGGCCTGCCCAGACCTAGCCCGAGGAATCCTGGCTTTGGGGTAAGACCTACCAGCGCTCAGCCACAGGGCAGGGCTGGTGGGGTCGTATGCTACATTCCCAACCTGGGCCCGGGGAGAAGGGCTGACGGAGAGGTACAGGTTGAATTTTCAGAACGTTGTGGGCACACTGCGGGTACCGGCTTGAACCACTCTTCCTCCTCAGCTATTTCCAGAGAGCAAGCGAGTGGGAAGATTTAGGGAGAGCAGCAGAGGGGGCCGTGGGAAACCCCACATGCAGCCTGGGGAGAAGGTGTGCTAGGTAGATGGGCAGGGTGGGAAAATTCCTTTCCCTTCCCAGCAGCCTCCAAGTGGAAAGGGAAAGGGAGGCCGCAGGCAGAGGCTGTGGGAGGAGACAGCTCTGAGCAGCAAAGAACGGGGAAAAGGGGAAAAGCCACCGGCAAACCCCACTCTGAAAGCAGCAGGACAGCGAGGGAGGAGGGAGAACCCCTAGATGATGCAGCCTAGCACCCCACTGTGTGGAGCTCAGAGCTGATCCCCACCCCGCAGTCGCCATGTGGTCTCCTTCCCACTATCCCTTGTTTCCTCTCTTCCAAGGAACAACTGGCAAGAGCCCACGCTTCCACCGCCCTGTAGAAATATTTCATTCTTGTCTCTCAGACACAAGCCTCCCTCTTCTCTCTGTAACTTCTTCCCCCTCCTTGCCCCCAAAGAACCCTGATATTTTCAACATTCTTCCTCCCAGAGCTCAGCAAACAGAGGGGGATGGCACAGCAGCTCAAAGAGCCAGATTTGCTCCCCTGTGGCAGGGAGCCAAGCCGAGCTGGCCTGCCCTCAGCCAGCGTCTCCTCCCCGTCCAGCTCCGTCCAGCCAATGGTTTGTTCACCTGCCACTCGTTACTCTCACCCTTCCCATTCAAGGGGAGATCTTTCTCCAAAGGGCTGTCGCTTCTTTCCCCCATGTATCCCACAATAAGGCATTGCTTCCAAACCCCAAGCAGTACCCCTCACCCCACAGTGGTGAGGACACAGGCCCCACGAACCCAAGCCCCTGCTGCACACCATCTGCACTCTCCCTGGCTGCTGTCCAGACCCCAGGAAGCCCCTCCACATCCTGTCACCAGTGTCATGGACACCTCCTTCCTTCCTCATGCCGCTCTGGAGCAGTGCATCCTATTCCAAGAGCCCTCGAAGCCTGTGCTCCATGACCCCCTCTCCCCGCTCCTCCTTCCCTCCCCCCTTCTCCACCCCCAGCCTGAAGGATACTTCCATTCCACGATGCTGATACAGGCCTTCCTCAAGGGGTTCTGGAGGGTCAGGCAGAACAGGGCGCGGGGGGGCCTTGGCAGGAGCTCGGGCACTGGTTTCTTGGACTGTTTCTTCTTCAGACCTTCATCTTGGGGTGAGGCTGGCTCCATGGCTTCCCTGGCAACCACGATCTCCCCTGCTCCCCCACCTCACGGCCTTCTCCTCCCTGTCTGTCCCCAATGTCCCCAGCTTGGGGACTGGGCCTGGCTGAGCCTGTCCTGCTGAGGTGGCCAGGCAGGGCGGGGGTGGGGCCCGAGGATTACTGTCCCCGCTCCCAGTGAGTAAAATTAGCTTCCACTCCCCTCCACAGCCCGGCCTGCGCTCCCAGGCCAGGCAGCTGTCATTCCTTCCAGCCCAGCCATGCCAATCTGTCCCCCAGGAGGATGGGGGGGAGGCTACACCCAGGCCTGAGATGGGGCGAGGGCAGTGGGAGACAGGATAGAAGTTTTCTAGGCTGGAGCAAGAAGTTAGGGAAGGCCGAGCCTATGGCAATGACACTCTTACTTTAGAATCTTTTTTCACATGGAGATTATTTCCCCTGGGCCCAATGGATGATTGACATGGTCTTGGAGGAGGTGGTGGATGTCCCAGCTCAGTCCATCACCCTTCCCTCCCATTTCAGCACTACAGGGATCAGATTGAGCTTCCTCTTGTCCTCCCCCCACCCCCCCACCCTCGCCAGGCCTGCCCTCAAACATGGAACCACCCACAAACATCAAACAAACACGGAATGTTAACAGAATGCATGACTGCAAGCAGTGCTTCACATGCGTGCCCTGGTGTGTGGAAGCTGAGGCTCTAGGAAGCATAAGACTCAACAATCCTTTTACTTAGTCCTTTGTAAAAACACACAGCAAATGGACCTCAGAGACTTGCGGGGGCCAAGGGTTAAAAAGAAATGTAAATCTGAGGAGAGCAATTCAAAGCTAGCAGGGCAGGAAAGTCCATGAGATGCTTATCGCCAGTTAACTAGCAAAAAACCAGAAGTGGAGCTTGTGGCTCAAGTGGTAGAGCACTAGCCATGAGCATAAAAGCTGAAGGACAGTGCCCAGGCCCTGAGTTCAAGTCCCAGGACCAAAGAAAAGAAAACAAAAATAAAAATGCAAACCTAGCCAGGCAGTGGCTCAAGCCTAGCTAGAGAGATTCGGGGAATCAGCCCAGGGGAAATGCTGGGGAGACTCCCTCTCGATCAAGGGCTACCACACCAGGAAGCACAAATAGGATGACTGAAGCCAGGCCTGCCAGGCTGGGCGCTACCCGTCCTCAAAAACAACCAATGCAAAAGGGGCTGGGGCGTGGTTCCAGTGGTAAGAGTGGGTGCTTAGCTGTGACACCCTGAGTTCAATCCCCAGGACAAAAAATAATAAAAATAAAATAAAAGGACAGCCCTCACCCAACTGGGAAAAAATCTCAGGAGGCCCCACGGAGGACAGAGGGAAGGGGAGTGGGGTCATCCAGGACAGGCTGCAGCCGTCTTCGCTATTATTCCAGAATCCAAGTACGACTGGCCTCCAGGGGACCCCGGTTGACACCGGGGGACAGGACTGCATGGACCCCGGCGAGGACAGAGCAGAAGCTGGGCTCCAACTTTCCCCAGCGCAGGTCTGAGGCAGAGCAGGCAGCCAGTCCGGGGGGTGGAGCCAGCCCGGGGGGTGGAGCCAGCCCAGGGGTGGAGCCAGCACGGAGGTGGAGCAGCCAGAGGGGGGGGTGGAGCAGCCCGGGGGTGGAGCCAGCCCAGGGGTGGAGCCAACCCGGGAGGTGGAGCCAGCCCAGGGGGTGGAGCCAGCCCGATGGGCGGAGCCAGCGGAGGGTGGAGCAGCATGGGAGTGAAGCCAGCCCGAGGGGTGGAGCAGCCCGGGGGTGGAGCCAGCCCGAAGGGTGGAGCAGCCCGGGGGTGGAGCCAGCCCGGGGTGGGGTGAAGCCAGATCTGGGTTCCGAGTTGCTCCCCAGCTCCTGCACAGAAGACTGGGTGGGGAGGATCAGCTCATATGGAAGCGCCCAGGGTTCCTGGGGGGAATCCCAGCAGGCTGGCGCCCCGCGGCCCTCCGCGGTGTCTCGGGTCTGACCAGCAGCCCGCGTGCTGCTCGCGTGAACCCGACAGGGACTTCGATCCCCTGAGTGCGCCCCTCCCAGCCCCCCCGGGGATCCGCAACCCCCGTCAGGGTCCTGATTCCTCCGACTCCAAGGACGGAGGGGAGACGCAGGCGGCGGCGGGGCCGGGCTCCGGGGCGCCGTCGGGGGCGGCGCCGTCGGGGGCGGCGCCCAGCAGCCCCTGCAGGTGCTTGATGTAGCGGATGGCGGCGCGCAGCGTCTCCACCTAGATGAGCCGCTTGTCGGCCCGCGCGCCGGGCAGGTGGCCGCGGAGGCGCGCGTAGCCCGCGTTCACGCACCGGACGCGCTGCCGCTCGCGCTCGTTGCGCTTCTGGATGAAGGCGGGCTCGAAGGGGCCGTTGTAGACCCCGAGGGCGCCGGGGAAGGGCAGGCACGGGAACACCCCCGCGTAGGGGTCGGCGGCGCCCGGGTACAGCAGGAAGGGCCCGGCGCCGCGCAGGGCCTCGGCGGCGGGCGGGGGCGCCGGCCCGGGGGGCGCGGCCGAGCGGCCGGGCTGCGTCCCGCCGGGCGGCCCCGCGGGCGTCCGCTCTGCGCGGGCTCTGCAGAAGCCGTGGCTCATGGCCGGACGGCGGGGACAGCTCCGGGGCGCCGAGACCGGCCGAGGGTTCCCTGGTGCCTTTGGAGATGGCTTCTGGGGGGGGATTCACTAGAGCCAGGCATAGTCGCGCACCCGTGTGCGTCCTCCCCACCTACGCCCCCCCCCCGCCTCCTCCCGCAGCCCAGCAGGCCCGGAGACTAGCCGGGGGCCTCCATGCCCCGGCCTCCCCCAGCGACTGGCTCTGGTTCTTTCTCGGCCTTTGGGGTCCTCAGGCTGTCCGTGGGTCACACTGCTGGCTGCTGTCCAAAGCGTGCGGGCCAGCGGAGGGGGCCCTGGGAATGTTTCTAGAAAGAGAGAGAATATGAATGAATCCTGGTGAGAACAGGGAGTCGGGAGGCTTTAGGAGAAGTTGAGATCAGTTCAAATCTTGTGTCTAGGCCTTAATAACCGGTGACCATTTTGATTTGGGGCGTTTATGTATGGAGCCTTTGAACATGTCTTCCACAGCAGATTATAAATTGATAAAATTCAAATCTATCCCTAAGACACTTCCTTTCCTGTCCTGGCTGATGAAATGCCCAGCCATTTCTTCCCAGTTTTGTTTTTTCCTTCGTAAGATCAAGTATAAAAATGTCCACTGCTATCACCTCCCTGGGGAATGGAGCTGATGGCTTCCAGAGCTATACCTCCAAAAGTGCTTCCCAAGACAGCAATCACTGCAGGTTAAGCCAGGGCCTCACCTTTGTTGAAGGAAATGGATCTTTGGTGTGTGTCCTTACTAGAGCTGGAAGGCAGGGCCTCCTGCTCTCATTTGGCTTTGTCACACTCAACACTGGTGCTCTACCACTTGAACCACACTTCCACTTCTAGTTTTTTGTTTGCTAGTTGGAGGTAAGAGTCTCAGGGAGGACTGGGAATGTGGTTTAGTGGTAGAGTGGCATGCAGGAAAGCCCTGGGTTCAGTTCCTCAGTACCACATACATAGAAAAAGCCAGAAGTGGTGCTGAAGCGCAAGTGGTAGAGCGCTAGCCTTGAGAAAAAGAAGCTCAGGGACAGTGCCCCGGCCCTGAGTTCAAGCTCCAGGACTGGCAAAAAACAGAGAGAATCTCAGGTATTTTCCTGTCCCAACTGGCTTCAAATCCCAGCTCTCAGATCTTAGCCTTCTGAGTAGCCAGGATTACAGGTGTGAGCCATCAGCAACCAGCTAGGAAATTTGATTGCAAAACAAACTTCGGTATGGTTAGCACTTTAAAAGCCCTCCTGCTGGCAGTGACAATCAGCCACCCCTTGCCTGCCCACATGGGTCCAGAATGTTCCACCTCACTTCCACCCTACCATTCTCTGGGGCGCTTCGCACAGCTCTCTATTACCGGTATTTGTCCAGAACCCATTCTAGCCCCTGGCATGTAATAGATGTTCCACAAATCCTTGTTGAATTACTGCGAGAGATTAGGCAGAAAGCTGGGCTTGTCAGGGTGGGGCTTAATTACACGCAACCTTTCCCAGGTTTGGGGAAGCTGTTATTTCAGAAATAATTGGTCTGTGTTGAGCCTAAGTGCCGCCAAGTCTCCTCACTGTGGTTAACAGATCCCAGTTAAGAGTCGTTTCTTCTAGGAAGCCTCTCTGATCCTGCGCCCCCTCTTGTGTGTGCCCACAGTGTCCCTAAATGCCACCTTTGCACACTACACGCCGCACCACCCTATTATTATCCTCTGTTATCCTCTGCTTGGTGGAAGAGGCTCGGGTTTACTGAGTGAGTTAGCAAGGTCGCATCCCATGCTAATGAGCAGAGCCGGGGAGGTCTACCAGTGGGACTGCTTCACCACACGGTGGGAGGGGCCCTGTCCCCCTCCCACCAGGGAGATGAGTGGTCAACTCCAACTTTCCAATGTCTCCTGAGACCTCCCAACTTTGGTCCTTTTTAGCAGGCCCTGAACCTGCCCCAGCCGGCTTTGTCCTCCATACTGACGGAGACAACAAAGAAGGAGTCAAGGCTATTGTGGAGTCTGGCTTCTCTTCTCAAAGGACAGCAAAGGCAACCTGGAGACCAATTCCTATGTTTCTTCCCACCCAGTGGCATTCCAAAGCTCTCCATTGGTTTACAAGGGAAGGTTCTAGAAAAGAGACCTTCCGCTCCACCAGGTCAGTCTCCTCTGATACCATTCCTGACTCCTACCCTGGTGGGTGCTGACTTTGATCATGGGTTCTCTGTCCATCTCTCACCTTTGCCATACCTGCCGTCTACAGTAAACACTCACATCCAGCTCACTACCACTGGCAGAGTTGGCACACTCCTCATCCAGGTGGTCAGAGCCAGGCACTCTGCCTTCATTCTGAGTGTGTGCATAGAGGGCAGCACTAGGCCTTGGCTTTTGCAGGTAATCCAAGCTCCTCACTCAGCAAGCCACAGAAAGGGTGCTCAGGACACATGCTATGACAGTTTAGGATCCAGACTGTGCCTTGCTTAGCTTGATCCCTGTCTGTTCATAGTTAACTGTCCAGCTGATCTGAGAGAGGTCAGACAACTTTAATCAATTCATTGATTTTGCTCCTTGATTTAATATTCAGAGCCATTTTATTTTTAAATAAATAGCTCCTACATCACTGACATTTGTCATCAGAGTATTCAGGAAAGTGACTCACACAAGAAATCTTGCAGAAGGGTAGATGGGTTTAAAGGTGTGTGTGTGTGTGTGTGTGTAGGTTTTAGGGCTTGAACTCAGGGCCTGGGCACTGTCCCTGATTGAGCTTCTTTTGCTCAAGGCTAGAGCTCCACTACTTGAGCCACAGCTCCACTTCTGGCTTTTTCTGAGTAGTTTATTGGCAATAAGAGTCTCACAGACTTTCTGGCCCAGGCTGGCTTTGAACAGTGATCCTCAGATCTCAGCCTCCTGAGTAGCTAGGATTACAAGCGTGAGCCACAGGTGCCCCGCTAACCAGTGGACCTTCATGGCTAGAACAGATCGCCTTGCCATAAAATGAGATAAGGACACACCTGCAGAGGTCACAGTCTTCTCTATCATACATCCTCTACCCCATGCTAGAGGCTGAGTGACACATGGCAGCCTGCCTGTTAAAGCATGATATCCATTGAGTAATTTACCCAGGCCCTTCCAGGTACAGAAACACCTCCTGGAATGGCGCAGTCAATAAACACTGCAGTGAAATAATAATAATCATGGCTATTGCTTGTGACATGTCAGACATTGTGCCAAACACTGTGTGTGGATGATCTCATGGAGTATCACCGTATTCTTGTGAGGTAGTGAAGATCGCCCTGGGTAACGGGTGAGAAACTAGAGGGGCACGAAGGTTAAAAGTCCCATGGTTAATAATCATGAAAACTGAAATGCCAATCAACTGTGTCCAACTTCCCATTTACTCTCCAGTATTTCTCTTAGCGGCTTTGCTCCCAATCAAAGGATCACAAGGTTTCCACTGACCTAGCAAAGGGATCTTATTCAATTATGATTTCTGTTGTAGGAACGTCCTGTTATAGACTAACATTATAGAGCTGGCATTCAGCTTTTGCTCTGGCTAGATCCTCTTGGCCATCCTTGGGAAGACATTCTTTCCGGGACGGAGTTTTCTGATTGGGAAGATGACTGAGTCAAGCACCAGGAGCTTACCCCTGATGAGGGAGGAGCCGCCTCATCTGAGCCGAGGCCTGGACAGGATCTGCCAGCTGCAGAGAGCTTGCTCACCGGCTGGGGGGTCACAATACTGGAGGTGGAATGGGTGGGAGACCAGCAATCAATAGCGCCACAGTGTGGTGGTTATGAGAAGTGCAAGTAGTAGATGAGTAAAATTCCAGGTCGGGCTCCTTCCTGTGGAACTTAAAATTCCCTCTCAACCTGGGAACTGTGAGTCCTAGGTCTTTTGGAAATTTCGGCATAAGAGAAATCCCCTAAGGAAGAGCTAAGGGTTTCCCTGAAATTATTATGTCCTTCAGACAATAAGCATAAGAACCGCTGTCTCATGCTTGGCCGTGGAGAAACACAGTGCAGATTGGATAAATGCTCGTTGAGAATCCTTTAGCAACAAAGAACAGGCTCGGTCTGTTACAGTGCGAACAACACGACCGCAACCTTCTAGCTAGCTTTTCTCACGACCATCATGGGGGCTGCCACTGGATTTCAGGGTAATTGAAAATCAGCTAATAATGTTTCTTCCAACAGGGAGCCCAGGCCTCTGCAGGAGACTTCTCTACCCCCCAGTAGAAGGACTTGAACTCAGGGGCTTCTTGCTCATTGCCTTTTTTGCTCTACCATTTGAGCCACACTTCCGTTCTAGCTTTTTGTTTTGCAGGTTAATTGAAGATTATGCATCATGACCCCTTACCTATTCCTCTGTAGTGGTCTCAGAACCTTTCCCCAGAGGTTCAGGAGAAATGCGGCCTTCCTTCCCTTCCCAGAGACCCACGGGGCACACAAACCTCCAGAGGGTCTGGGGAGCCCATTTCTATTGAACCCAGAAAATCCAAATGCACTTCGATTCTCTAAGATTCCTAAGCCAACCAATCTCAAGTAGACTAACCTTCAGGAAATTCTGCCTTACTATCTACAGAACAGATACTAAAGCAATAAAAATTAAAATTAAAAATAAAATTAAAAAAAGGAGCCAGGCACCAATGGCTCATGTCTCTAATCCTAGCTACTCAGGAGGCTGAGATCTGAGGGTTGTGAGTTGAAGCCAGGAAAGTCCTTATTTCCAATTAAACACACACACACACACACACACACACACAGAGAGAGAGAGAGAGAGAGAGAGAGAGAGAGAGAGAAATGGAGCTGTGCTAGCCTTGAGCACAAAAGCTCAGGGACAGTGCCCAGGTCCTGAGTTCAAGCCCCAGGACTGGCAATAAAAAGGGGAGGTATCTATATTCTAGTCTCCCTTGGAGATGGGTTGTAAGGCCTTTACCTATTTCTGTGATGACTTTCCCATTCCCACCACATCCACATTCGTATACAGAAGCATCATCTGATAAACGTTCACTGAAGCTGTCCTTTTAGAACAGTGGTG